CCACTTTGTATCCCTCATCTAGCACAGATAAGTGATGTCGTCATCTCCATTGCCACCAAGACCTTTGGCTCACACTAGCCCGATGATCCATATGTGGTATCAGCAAATATCCTCAGTTGCTTACAAAGATTTGAATGCCTTATTCAAGACTCAAACCCTTAAGCATTTGATTTAAATGTGGGATAAGTAGGGTAGGGTATTTTATTGGAATTGGCGAATTGTCGGTCCCGAATCATATCTTGGTCGGCCCTTATAAGATTTTGCGGATGGTTTTCTTCAAAGGGCTATAATAAATTTAGATGTCCTTAAAAAATGTCAAAAATCTTGCAAAGGGATTCAGGGCATAACCCAAAACCACTTTAGAAGTTTCTAGATCATTTTGAGTGCACCTAAGCTTATTATGTCATTGAATTAATCAACCCTGGTTAAGTTAAGATTTAGTTGTGATGTGTTAACGTTTACTTAGTGAACATTGTTGTTTAAATTAACCCATGAGTAGGGGCAACTAATTATTCATTTTTATGTTGATGAATTATAAGAGTAAGAACTCTTAGGGAAAACCAAGTTATTAAGGAGCCTACATATCTTTCTAATTGAACTTGAGCTCGTATTGTTTCAACGATGTGTATTATTACTTATGTTTCTTTTCTAAGCCTCATTAAGTAATTTTAGATTAACCATAGTTCACTACCAAACTCTTAAAGGTTGAGTGGTAAAGTTGTAATTTTATAAAAGTTTTATAATATGGTGTTTAATTTGCAGTGAAAGATTGAATTGCACTTAACCATTGATTGGTGGTTCAAATTAGTGAGTTATTATCTTCCTAACTCAAGCCCCTTACATTAGAATAATCAAAGACTTATCTATCCTCCAATTCATAACAATTTAATTAATTACAATTTTATCCTTTATAGAAAGTGAAGTGAATTTGTTTCTACCTTTTAACTCTTTGTGTTTTAATCATTTCATAGAGTTAATTATCATAATTAATACCAATTTACCCTCTGATTTGATCTAGATTTTAATTTGGAGTTCAAAATTCCATAATTACCCTTTTAAACCTAGGGTTCTTTATTTCATAATTTCTTCAATTTAACTCGAATGACTTTGAAACTTTGTTGTTACACTACTCATGGGTCAATTTATACATAAGAGAAGAATTCACATTTTTTATTTTTATTTAATTTTTAATTATTATTTTGATTCAAAATTATGAATTTTCAATATTAATCAATGTTACGAATCCAAACATCTTTTCTACCCTTAAGATATTTTAGGAGGTTCACATAAATTAGAGGACATTTGGAATAAATTTTGTGAATTTTTGAATTATATTTTAAATTTTATAATTTTTAATTGATTTTAAGAGATAAATAAACAGAAAATACATTTTATTTAAAAATTTGACTTTTATAATTTTTATATGTCTCTCAAACTTCCGAGGACCAAGAGAAGCTATTTTTTATGATATAAATTTTTAATTTTTATAATTTATTTATCCAAAAATAAGGAGAAATAGATTTAAATATTAAAGAATACCATTTTACGCCTTTAAAAATTTATAAAAATGCTTTTAATTCGTTTTCTACACTTAGGGAATAATTTATGATATTTTGAAGTATATTTATATTTTGATGATATTTAACTATTTTTAATTATTTTTAAATTGAAAGTAGCTCAAAAATGAAATTATTGTTTTGACTTTACTTTTATTTTTCATAGATTCCTCTGGTCTTAAGAAATCTTCCAAGCTAATTTTAAAAATTTCCTATTTTTTAATTTATTTTCTATAATTATTTTAAGCAAAAAATTATATTTACTTAAAAAATACATTTTTATATTAAAAATAACTTTTCCGACATTCAAATTTTTATAGAAACTTTACAATATATTTTTTTTTATTTTGGGATATTTTGATGATTTTTTGAATTATTTTGTATTTTTCTAGTTTTTTGTATTTTTTATTATTTTAAAAGGGAGAAATGTTTTTTTAAATATTTTAATTTTGATTTTTATTTTTCTTAAGGTTCCTGTCCACAGTGAACATATCAAACTTGATTTTGTATTTTTCTACTTTATTTTATTTCTTATAATTATTTGATTAGAATAATACTAAAAGTTTTTAAAAATTAGAGTTTTTGATCATAAAGATGCTCTCTGACCTTTTGAAAAAAATCAGAGGATGCCCCTAATGTCATTCAGATCAAAACATCAAAATTTCACTTAATTTGATATATATTTAATTAATTATAATTAATTTTCTTTATAGAGTATTTAATTAATTTAAATTAAAATATTTGATAAATATTTTTGATTTTTGGTTAAATAAATTCTCCCATGTTCACTGAGCACAAAGTTTTTTTTTTAATTTTTTTAAATGATTTTTCTACACCAAGATATCAATTTTTAAAGTTTCTCTAATTAAATAATTCCAAAATATCCTAATTTTCTACTTATCCGACGCGGCGCCCTATCATCCTTGAGAACTTCGAAATCCCATGCGGTGCTCTCTGGTTAGTTACACTTTCCACGTCGGCTGGCACGTGTGCATGCAGTTCATGTATTCGTCATCCGTCTGGCTCGATTTCGACCGCTCGTTTGATGCACGCGGAAATAAATGACATTCATTCATCGTCTCTGGTCGCCCTAACTAAAAAACTGTTCGTGTTCTAACCTTAATCTCTCGCTCGATATTTAACCAAATTAAGTGTGATTTGTTTTTACACCTTCATCTAAGCAAGACGAACACATCTATATGGTTAGATACGCATGAAATGTAAATCTTCTTCACAAATGTACAAACCGGGATAAAAATGAGAACTTTCAGGTTATACCGTTGCGCAAGAGGTGAGGCTTCAATTAGGTTTGTTTCTGAGCTTTTCTTTGAATCCATGAATGTCCTCAAAGCTTCAATTCGATCTGCAATTGAGCTTAAGTATGTTCTAGGTCAAGAGGTGGCTCGAGTGAGGGTTGGGATGATGGGGCTTTGATTTGGAAAGTGGTTTTGGAGTGTTGTGAAGCTTTTGGGATGGTCAATTTTGAGTATGATAGGGGTTGATTCCAAGGCCGAGAAATGCCCAGGATTTGAGCTTGAAAATTAGGGTTCTGTGTGGGGTTTAAAGGCTGGAAACTTGTGGGATTGAACTTAGGGTAAGTGTAGAAAGCACTGAAAGCAATTGGGCAGAGTTTCCCCTAGGTTAATGCACTTCTCCTTTTTTGATGAGAGGAGGTGGTCTATTTATAGACCATGCTATGACTACCAACAAGACAAGCTAGAGTGGCTAAAGTAGATTAAAGCAATTCGTAGAAGGGCTCTGCATGGTGAGTTTCTAATGGAGAAGAAAGACATTGAAAAATGAGTCAAGGAGGGCAAAAAATGAAGTTTTGAGGAAGAAGATGATTACATAGTGGGCCAAAAGTTTCTCAGTACCATATGGCAGATTGAGGGATGGCAGGAAAAGGAACCAATCATATCGTTGAATCTCATGCCAGTGTGGCAAATGGAGGCCAGTAGGAACCTTGAGGAAACTAAGTTATACTTAGGAAAATTGCAGTAGATTTTACTCATTTTAGATTCTTACAACATTGAATATCCATTCATCATAACTTTTTTTAAAGCTATTGAGGTGTGATATTTATATTTCATATTTAATTTTTTTAATTAAATTATTAAAATTTGAAATAACTTATTAGAATTATTTGGATGTTTGTTATTTAAATATTGAGATATTTATTATATATTTAATAATTGATACGCCATCAACAAATTCCCAATCACCCGACACAAATCTCGAGGCATCACAAGTCTCGAGGCAATCTTTGGAGCAATGAATATTCAAAATTCAATGAAGTCATCTAGAGCTCTGGTCAAATTGGTTGGCTTGACGAAACAAACTACTAATACAAAAATTGGTCAAATCCAAGTGAAATCATGACCAGCCAAACCATTAAATTTCTTTTATAAGCTTTTTAGACATATATAGAAAGTTAAAAAAATGCTTAATTTAGGAGCTTAAGTTCCAATCGAGTGCATTGACAATACAAATCTAACGGGCATAAGATTGCTCAATTCCGACATCATTAAAGCACTAAGATGTCTATCAAACACCGTCTGATCGAGAGAAGTCTTTTGACCTGTCTGACCAAAGTTGTTTATATTGTTTCATTAATCGCAACAAAAACTATATAAGCAAAGCCCCACCCCTCTCATGAGGGGAGGGGAGCTTAAAACCAGAAGAGAGAGCTTAAAGCTTGGAGAAAGTGTTGAAGTCTGACATCACTCTTACAACTAGCAACAACCACCATCATCAACTACCACTCGCCCACCATCACTGATCATCATCGTTCGCAGCCCACTTCTTACAACAAGTTCATCTGACATCACTCTTACAACTAGCAACAACCACCATCAACAACTACCACTCGCCCACCATCACTGATCACCATCGTTCGCAGCCCACTTCTTACAACAAGTTCATCCACACACTGACGTTAGAACTCCAAATATTGTATAACCACCCTTTCACGCCTGCGGGACAAGAAATTATAACTGTAATTACTAAGTTATAGCGAATTTCTTCAACTAAGTCAGTTCTCGCAGTTTTTTCTTTTTTTCGGACTTCACACATAAAACTTATGGTGTCTCTTATAATTATTTTTCTTTTATCTGAGTGTGTACTAAATCTTCGTACAATTCTAAAATGATAATCTATGACTCCACCGTCCTGAACCTTCTAGCATACATCAATAATTAAATTTTTAAAATTACATTATTTATGTTAAACTTAAAAAAACATAATTTATTGTATCATTTTATTAAATTATTGATTAAACTCAAATTGAGTTATTGAATATTAAAATTCAAAAAATCTCCCTTTCTATAATTACGAAAATACCTTAATTAACGCCATCATTCCAATGGCATCTTCATTTCCGTCACCTTCATTAGATCCAACCTGTTGAGTATTTATGCACATATAAACAAAATCATAATTATTTTTATTCGGCCATCCCACCTGTCCACCTCCACCGGTCGATTCATCGCTTTGAGATCCCCAAATCCGACCCTATGCCGGCGAACTCACCGGCGTTGTTCCCTTCCCTTGCCGGTGACATCAATAACATAAGCGGAGACGACGACGATTTCGGCGATTTCGTGTTCTCGTTCCCATCTCACGCACCCTCCTCCCTCTCCTATACCGCGCCAACTGTTCTCTCCACCGCCGACGCCGACGATGATGACTGGGGTGATTTCGTTGCCAGCCAGCTTGAATCTCACTCTCTTCAGCCCCAGTCATCTTCGCCTTTTTCTCCTCCGCTCGATCCGTTACCGCCGAGCAATAAAGCGTGGGTGAAACCAAAGGGTGCGATACCGCTGTCTATATTTGGCGAAAATGAAGATGAGACGGATTCGGTAACCATGGAGGGTAGTGGGGTTTTTGAGAATGGAATTGCTTCTTTTTCATTCTCGACTTCTTCGTCTTCAAGACCAGCGACGGCTGGGAAGTTCAGTGATATGATTGAGAGGTTATATAGACAGATTGATGTTGGAGGAAAGGAAGAGGTGGATGATTTTGATATGGGAAGTTGGGAATTCAAGGATGCCATGTCAATTGATGCTAGACCTAAGGTAGTCATCATCTTCAGTTTTATATCAGCTATTTGGGGTCGGTTTTATGAATTCGCATTTTCCATTTGTTACTGTTGAGTTCTGTCGGAGTGTTAAACCTATAATACTCGAGCCAATTTGAACAAGTTCTGTCCATGCTAACTAATTTGCTTATACTAATTTTATCTATCAGTCTGACCGGCGCATGTTCTGCTCATAAGCTAATGGGCTGCAAATTTCTTTTAAAGACTCGAACATTTAAGTGGTTTAATTTAGTCTGGTTGCTGATTTTTGTGTTCAAGCAGATGGAAGCGGCAGGTGGGGCTGTCATTGGGTTGGAAATGGTAACGGTTGCCAATGAAAATGGAAGTAGTCAGGTGAGCACTTGTTTTGTTTTCTCTGCATCTGCTCTCGTTTTAGAGTTTTTTTCTGCCCATATTGTATACCAGACCTAACCTCATTCTCTAGTCTATTTTTAGGTGCATAGAATGTAACTTTTTAGTTTATTTAGTGCGTTTGGGGCGGCGGTGCGGTGTTGTACTACAGTTTTTCCTGTTCGACAAAACTGCTTTTTGCTTGCATTCTCAAAAAAATTATAGTTGAAAGCTGAGTTTTCCTACTAGGCCTGATTACCTGTGGTGACTGCTAAAAACTTACAGTCTAATATTTTCAGAATTTTTTTATGTAATAGCCACCTTAATTTTTTGAACAACAGTTTCTTCTTCAACAACTTCACATCTACTTCTTCAAACAGTTGCTGCTGCCTCAAACTAACTCTTACTTAGATCTTCCTATCCATTTGTTCTTAAGAAATTGAAACATAACATTGAAAACAAAAATTGCATCAATTAAGAACTTGTTTGTTTCTGTTTTTGTTTTGCTAAAAATTGGTTTTAAGCTGTTTTATAAAAAATAGTTTTTTAAGTCACTTAGAAATTAAGATCTAAAGTAACTACAAAATGATTTGTTGACCTCTTTTTTAGTCAACTTTCACTCCTTGACAAATTCTATCTAAGCCTAAAGTCCCTTCTTGGTGCTCCTATGTGGTTGGGCAAGTGCTGCTTGGTCTGGTTGATTCAAGTTAGGTTTGACTGACCCTGGCTTGGCTCTTAGGTTAGCTTGGGTGTGCTTGGATTAGCTTAGACAAACTTATGTTTGGTTAAAATCAAAATTAAAATTAAAATCAACCCAGACTTAAATCTAATTAAGTAAACTTAGATCAGACTTTAAAATTTAAATGAAGTGTAACTTAACTTAAAATGGATCTGAATCAATACTAAAGAAAAGAGATCGAGTAATTACTTAACATTAAAGTCTCGAATTGGAGGGCGACAACTGTTAATATTTCTACAAAGGAGATTGAGATAACTGAGGTAAATGTTAGTGTTGTTTATTATTAAATAATGATTCTAATATATACAAATTTGTGTATTAAAATATTAATAATAAGTTTAATTAAGTTGGATTTAAGCTTTAGAAGTTTAGATTGGAAGGAAAAGATGAAATTTGCGACATTAAAGGTGAGTAATTACATTTTTATATGTATTAAATTAATATTTATTAAATAAGGAATTGCCTCAAAGCTTCATACAATTATTTCTATAATTTTATGCATGTTGTAAGCTTAAGTATTATTAAAATGAATGAAATAAAATGGTAAAAGGGAAAATGATTGTGTAATGACTATAAATTGAGGTAATTAAAGGAAATGAAATGTAAAAACTTAAGTCATTCAAGATTACCCCAAATGTTATTATCAGAGAATGTGATGTATTCGTGCATGAAAAAGGAAATAAAAATGATGAAGGTATACTTTCGGGTGCAAAATTTTGAGGGTGCCTACATGTACAATTTTGAAAATACTTTCGGGTATGATTGTAATTTTGATGACTTCTTAAAGAGATTAAACATGATAAATGCTTAAATTGAAATCGAAAGGGTTAAATTAGAAATAAAAATTTATAGTTTTGATTTATCAACAAATTGCATACATTTGGGATATTCGTGCATTGCATTTGTATATTAATTTAATGTATAATAAGATTGTAATTACCTGCTAAGTGGTGGAAAACTTATCGTTGAATTTATTTTTTCAGGAAAAAAATATAGATTGATACGTCTGACATGACAGATTTAGTTTACAGAAGGAGAACTATTGCTCATAGCTATTATGTTGTGTGTTGCGGTTATATATATTATACTTTTTACTTATAATTAATGATATTAGTTTGAAATATTTTACTTGCAGAACATGATATTAATTTTATATGATTTGATTTCTGTATAATATATTTTGTGGTTTTTAAGTGGTTCTTTTATTAATAAGAAGTTATGAAAATATGTGGAAATTAAATGAAATGCTAATATCATCCTGATCGAAGTTTCCGACTTGATTAATTCTAAGCTATTAGGTCAGGTCATGACCCCATACAATATTACAAGGAGTGAAAAATGAAGCCGCAGAGAAGAAAAGAAAACAATGGAGTGCGATGAAGTGGAAAGAAGAGAAGAAATGCGCAAGAACTAGGAGATAAAAAATAAGAAATGTACGAGAAATGGGAGATAAAGCAGAAGAAATGTGCAAGAATTGGGAGAGGAAGATAAGAGATGTTCAAGAACCGTTCTCTAATATCAAAATGAAGCCACTACAGTGAGAATAAGTTACTGAAAATTAAGAGGAAGCATAAATCTTTAGAGGAAATCAACAAAAATATATATATAAAAAAAGGAAAAACAACTAAGAAGAAGCAAAGATCTACTTGAGAAATTTTAAAAAAATCAACATAAAATGCGGGAAAAACAACCAAAAATAATGCACGTCGGGATTTCTTGGAAAAGACAAGATATAATGACAAAATCACCACTTGAGAGCCATCTCAGGATACAAATGCAGGAAAAAAAAGCCAACATTCAGGAAAAGCCAAAAAACTCTCTAACAAAATTGACCCTCTTTACACAGACAATTCTTTTTTATAAAGGCCTAGATTCTTATATTTACAAGTATTCCATCCAATTAAATAAACACATAAAAATGAGCACTAACACATAAAAATTGAACTTAAACATAGCATGGACAACAATAGTGTTGACGCTCCTACGTCAACTATCTTGTTACGATGCCATATTTTTTTTCTCTTTATATTGATTCTGAGCCTAGATTGTTTTTTGTAATAATCCCATTATATCACTTTTACGTTTACTTTTTTCTATTTTTTTTCTTTACAATTTTTTATTTTAACACTAATCTAAGCTTAAACTATGCATTATAAAAAAATATGAGTTCAGAAAATTTGACTAGCTCTATAATTGTGTGCTGCAATTACTATATGCAATGTTGTGTATTTATGTCTCGAGGAGAAGCTGACTATAGTAGAAGATTTTATAGGTGTTTTAGAAACATAACACCTGATGATTGTAATTTTTTGATGGGTTGAAGAATGTGTGGAGTCCACTTTAGATAGCAATAATGTATGGAGATTAATTTCAGAAAAAAATTCTCCAAGAGGTTTGACATTTGGATATGAAGTTTAATATTATAATCTTATTTATTCATATTTTAATTTGCAATTTTTGTGCTATTTATTAACGTTAAGTAATGTATAAATTTAATATAATATTTTAAATTTGTGACTTTTTGTAATATTTTGAGGTTTAGTTATGCTGTTTAATTTGAATTGTTTCTAAAACTGTGCACTCAGAACCAGGTGCAGAACCAAAATTTCAAAGAAGGGGGTGAAATTAAAAATTAGCTAAAATATATTACAATTAAAATTTTATCCTTTTTAAAACAAAATAACAACTTGAATAAATAAAATGAAATAAAAATAAAACTTATATCATGAAGTAAAAAAAAAAAAACTATTTTAATCTAGTTGTCACGATTATACATATTGAATTGTGTATAACGCTTCTTCATGGCATTGATATCTTTAATCATTTCTTTTATATCAAAACTCATTACAATACCTTTTTAATATATGTCATCATTGAACTTTCAAAAAAATCATCTTTAATTTTATTTTTTAACTTTCTCTTGACAATCTTCATAGTTGAAAATACACATTTAGTAGTTGTTATTGAGATAAGCAGTGTCAAAATCAGTCTAAGTAAACGATCAATAAGATAATATATGACTGATTTTCTTAGCTCGGCTAGCATTTGACATAAATCAGAACTTTCTGAGAGATTTAAAAAAAAAATTATTCTGATGAGCTTCAATTTTAAAATGTTCGAATTGAATTTCAAGTGTAGCTTCTTTTTATATATAAAATATTCATGATAGAATTTATTTGCAAATTAATAAATAGCATCAAATTTGAATGGTCAACCTTCTCTTAACAATCTTCATAGTTGAAAATACACATTTAGTTGTTGTTATCAAGATAAACAATGTCAAAATCAATCTAGTTAAACGACCAATAAGATAATATATGATTGATTTTCTTATATTAGCTAGCATTTGCATAAATCAGAAGTTTTGAGAGATTTTAAAAAAAATTATTCTGATGAGCTTCAATCTTAAAATGTTATAATTAAAATTTTAAGTGTAGCTTATTTTTATCTATAAAGTCTTTATGATAGAATTTATTTGCAAGTTAATAAATAACATTAAATTTTAATGGTTGATATACTTCTCGAGGATCTAATGTAGAATTGATAATTAAAATTTTATAATATTTTTCTTAAATCTATTATTCATCTCCTACAGTTGTGTTTAAAGTGGTTATGAAAATATCAATTTTATAATGATGCTCTAATATAACAATATTTTTTTGTGATACGAGCGTCCTCGAACTCCAAAGAAGAATTCATATTTAAAGTAAATATATCATATTTTTCACAAAATAATTTCATCTTCCGGAAAAAAAATATGACAATCTTGTTTCTCTTAAATTTTGAAAAAAAAATATATTAGTTGTTGATATTAAATGCATCAAGATATTTATGATTTTTTTTATAATGCTCGATAAATATCATCTGTAATTTCTAAATTTTTTGTCATAATATGTAAAATAAAATAAATCAAATGAGATGATATTATATCAAAAGTTTCATTGGTTTCACTTGTTTGACATGATGAATTTTTTAAAGAACTTTTTTTTAAAATAACAAAAATGACATCTTATATCACCAAATTATGGAGAGAACTCAAATGTGACTCTTAACATGTTTCTCTTGCACATTTTAATGTACCGACTCGATTTAATCCCTTATCAATATCTAGTACATCAATTGCAATAATTGTTTAAACAATTTTTAATTGATTTTATCTTTTGCAGGAAGAATAAATCAAATCAATTATAAATGTTAAATATGTGAAAATTTGACAAACTGTAATAACAATTTTTGATAAAACTACTATTGTCAAGTATAATATGTGTTAAATAATTAATATAATACGAAAAGGATATTTTTTGATGAACAAAATTTTCAACCCATTTCTTTCATCATCACTTCAAGGGGGGCAAAATTTTTAATGTTTAACTTGATATTGCATATTTATTAAAAATCTATAGGGGCAACTGCCCCCCCTTGGTTCCACCATTGCTTACAATTACATTTTACAAAGGCATTTTAATCTTTATTTTAGAAACAGTCGCAACACAACAGATAAACTATCCAAACAAACTGCAACAACTTCTCCTAACAACAACTTAACATAAGTTTCTCCTGACAGCAACTTCACAACTGCTTTTTCGAACAGTTACAATTGTACCAAATGGGGCCTAAACAAAAATCAACATTAAAAAAAATATGAAACGAAAACTTGAAGCTTTAAATAATAAGACATCACATGAATTCATATACATTCAAGATAAATAATCTTTTTAAACAATTGAAGTTTGATTTCATGAAAGCGTCAAAAGGAAATAAATATCGACACCAAGAAAATTCAACATCTCTTTAAATAATACATGCATAAATTCATTTTGAAGAGAAGTACAACTTTGCGAGAGGTAGACGACTTGAAACATGCAAAACGAAAAAGGGGAAGGGGGAAATGGGCTTCAGTTTTGCTATCCTCGGCACGTCGAGAACCCAATAGACTGGTTTTGTGAGTAGGAGGCTGAAAGAGCTAGTTTGCTCAGTTTGGGATTGAGATTTCGACTATCCTTCTCGACAAAGGAAGGAGATGCGGTACATTTTCACTAGTATAAGAAGAGGCTAAGGATTTCGTGAATGTAAGAAAACCTCTTTCAACTAGATCTCTTTTCTGTAAAATGGAGAGGAAAGCCTCTACTTTTGGCTAGGGTAGTGGATGTCGATAATCCTTAGTTCGGGCATCAAGTGAGGGTCATTTTAGGTATTTAACCTCCCCTTTTTCTTGATCAAAGACAATGAAGGGTTAGGATTGAAAGGGAAAAATGGCTGGTTTTAGCTTAAATTTTATTTATTTTAAGTTTAATTTAAGTTTATGTTTTAAATAAATTTAATTTTATATTTATTTTAGTTTAATTTTAGGGGTATTTACACACATACCACTCAATTCAAATGCATTTACATATCAATACTTATGGAGAGTGGTATATCTGTATATCTTGCTTAATTTGCATTTTATTTAGTTTAATTTTAATTAATATTATCGTTTTAAACTTGTTTTAGTTTTTATTTAATTTTAATTTTCATGTTTAGATTAAGTTTGGAGCTCAATTTAACCTTAAATTTAAATTTAAATTTAATTTAAATAATGTTTGATTCGTATTTATTTTAATTTAGGTTTATGATTAGTTTAAGTTTTAGTTGTCTTTTATTTAAGTTTGATTTATGTTATGATTTAATTTTATTAGGGTTAATTTTAAATTTACTTTAATTTAGTTTAATTTATATTTACATGAATGTTTGGTTTTAATTTAGATTATTGACTTAGATTTAGGTTTAAGTTGTAATCTTAAGTTAAATTTACTAATAATTAAAATTAATTTAAAATTTATATTCAATTTTATTTTAGTATTAAGTTGGATTCATTTTATGTTAAGTTAAACTTCATTAAAATTTAAGTTTGAATTTGGTTTTACTTAGATAATTAGATTTAATTTTGGGTTGATTTAATTTTAAATTTGATTTAAATCCAAACCAATTTCTTCTAAGCCAATCAAAGCACATTCAAGAAGACCCAGGGTCAACCCAGCCAGACCTAAACCAACTAGGCCAAGCTAGGGTCAACCAAACCTAACTTGAATCAACCAGACCATGTCCAGACCAACCCAACCACCTAGAAGTACTAAGAATGGATCATAGGCTTAGATAGAATGGCTAGGGGCCAAGATTGAGGAAGTTGACCAAAAATGAGATCAACAAGATATTCTATGCCAAGCACTTTTAGGAAAGTATACTAATTAAAGAAAGTAAAAAATGGGAAAACTATTTTCTACAAAAAGAAAAGCAATTTTAATGGTTCTCCAAGCAAAGTAAAAATGTGTTATTTTATCCCACATAAAATTATTTTTTTTATGAAAATCTTAAATCTTGAAATTTTGAAGTCTGCTCATAATAATTTTATTTGTCTTTTAGGTGCCCTCATTTAATTTTAGGACAATGTTCATTATATTTTTTATCTTATAACTTCTCATCTTAAAATCCAAAACTAATAATCAATGTTGAGTATTTAAATTTTCACTTGGAATGAGCCGACAATCTACACTATTGACGATCTATTTTTTTCATATGAAAATAATCAATTTTACTTTTAGTAGATTGATTCTTATTAATGATAATATGTTCATTTCTTTTCTTAAATAAAATATTAGCAATAATAAAATCATAAGTTAAAACAAAATTTAATATTGTTTTACCTTCATCATTAATCACTTCAAAGCGTTAATCACCATGAATATTTCTAAAATTTTCTACAATTCTATCAACATGTTCATTTAAATTTCCTCCAATAAAAATTATTTCTTCAAATTGTATCATATGTATTAATTCTTTTGGTAATTCCAAATTTTTTTTGAACCTATATCTAAACTTATTTGAGGAGTATAAACACTCATAGTATTGAAAATCTTAATATCAACATCAATTTTTAGGATTATAATTCTATCTCAAATTCTATTAATTCTTACAACTCTTATATATAATCATGCCTACACCATTGCTAGTGTGACTGCTACATGCATACCAATGTTTAAACCCTAAGCTATTAATCTTCTTAATATTTTCTCCAACTCATTCAGTTTCTTGAATGCATAAGCTATTTATATTCCTATGAATTATAATATCTTCTAATTTCATTAATTTACTTGTGAGAGTACCTATATTCCAAGAAGCTATACTAATTTTAGTTTCATTAACTAACTTCTTTGCTCACATTTGTCCATAATGTGAGAATCCTTGCTTATTTCACACTGTACCAAAGCGCTGCTGTCACGACCCTTGCACACTTTTCACTGTATTAATGTCATGCAACGCGTCGCTTTCAGGGAAAGCCCTAGCATTCACACAATAAGTTGAAGGATTCATGTCATGATTTTTCGACAAAAAAATTATGTTGGTTGTTGACTACCTTATGCAACTCTGCACTTTTTGCATTCAGTGCTTGAGACTCGACAATGACAATGTTAGCCTTTCCCTCTTTCTTATGAATAAATTGTATTCATTCCACGATTATGATATAATATCTTTCCGGTGTATAGTAAATTTTGTTATGTTGCTTTACATTATATTGGGGGTCAGCCAGGGCAAACATGTGGACTTTGCTTATTAGGCTCTCGTTGAATGTGGCTAGTGTACCATGCGCTCAACATACAATCTTGCGAAGCTATCTGTTTAATAACCACTAAATAAATTCTTATGATATCACTAATCGAAGGTACTTTTCCACTGGAAGAAGTTTAAATTCATTTCACTTGACATCTTAGAAATGAGGATTTGTTTGAACGGTTACATAGCCTTTTATTTGTTCTAAGAAAATCTTTTGATGCATTCACATGATGTATAATGGTTTTCACATTTTTCTTATACCTTTCTATTTTTCTTTCCATGCTGAAAATAAGCTGGATTAATTTACCATACCTGAAAAGCCTGAATGTGAACTCGCCATAAGTTGACCTGAATATTCTCAACTTATCTTTAAATTAAGTACTATTGATCCATTTAATATAGATCCTTCTTATACTTTGCACGGACCTATATGTATTTTATTCCATGGATCTGATAATTCTACTATAAAGGCTGTTGTTGACAGGTTGGAGAATGGTTGGGAAGGCTTGGAGCAGTTTAACATGGATGGCCAAGAAAGAGAACCAGCTGATGTTTTTGCTGCACATGAGAAACTCACAAACGGGTCACTTGGTTATAATCATTCTGTAACAGATAAGGTACTGCATGAGATGCTACCCAGTTTTGAAAATGGGACTTCAAGTAGTGGCACAAGTGGATACAAGATTGAATTCCCAGAATATGCTATTATAAATGGGTTTAAAGAGGTGGGCCTCTTCTTCTTCCGGTTGATATTTTATTATAGCTAAAATTTGAAACCTGATGCACATTTCTTTTTGTGTTGCGTGGAGAACAGAAGATTCAAGATGATCAAGCAGATCTAGTACACCCTCCTGAAAAGCAAGAGGTTAGATATTAGTGTTTACTTATTTATTTCTTATGCTTATGAATATAGGTAATCCCTGAGTATGAAATGGATGGGAAGTTCATTTCAGCCGTAGATCATGTAAATCATCAACAAATAAAGTTCAATTATTTTCAGGAAAAAAAATGAAGTTCAATTGAAAGAGTGGATAAAACTTTCAAACCTTCGAATTTAACACTTTGAACATGTAAAGGTTTATGAAAGCTCCGGGGAATCCATCTTTGCATAGAAGGCTGCACATACAAAACATTCCATGCACAATACAATACATAATTCTGTTTTCAAAATGCAATTCAATTTTTTTTTTCAGTTAAACCATACGTCACATATTTTTAAGATTACGACATAGAAGGTTAGGCGGGGAAGGGAACCGGGAAGCTCATAAGGGAGGATAGTGGAAACTGGAAAATTTAATATAAAGAAACTGCAAGAAGAAGCTTCTGTAGAAAACACAGTATAAAGATTTTCAAGTTTTTGTGGAAGTCTGCATTTGTTTAAGTGAACTCTCCTTGCATTTTTTAAGTACTAAATATCCTCAGAAACTCTTGCAATCTTGGAAGATATTTTGAATGTTGAAAATCTTCTCTATCTTGATGGAATTTGAATTTCTTAGGGACAATTTTTCTTCAAGCTTATGTATTATATATATGAATTCACGAAACACATGTTGATCTTTCCGCCAGGAAAATAGCCCTGTACTTAATTAAGCTATTTGTAGATTCAAAGTCAGTGTTCATTCTTTGCTAGAGTACCTAGCAAATAATGTTGTTCTATTCCTTCATAAAAGGATTTGTTGCGTCATCAGTGCTTTATTGTTTTGTTGGGCTATCTTTTAATGATAAGTATTTATTAATACCACTCAATTGGATTGCCTTGAAATGCAGATTCTTTTGTGCAGTCTTTATAGTCTATGTATGGGTGATTTTGATATCATGCTTGACGGTATTCTAAAATTTGATTTCTTACGTCTTTTTCGTGAATATAACTTTACTTGCTTCATCTTGTAATTTCTTCTCAAGAATGCAAAATTGTTCCTTTGTGTTTTAGGAATTGCTGCGAACGGTATTTAGTACCAAAATGCCTTATTGATTATAGTAATCTGTTTTTATCTTTTCATGTTTATATGATGGATGCATATTTCCAGGACATAAAAGAGATAGAGTGGAACATGTGGGACGTTGATGACCTGAACATCTCTTCTTATGCTAATGGCAAGGAAAATCTTAATGGAATATCTGAGGATCATACTGAGCATAATACAGGAGCTGGAAAGATGGATTATTCAACTATTGCTCTTGCTGGCATCATACAGAATCTGTATGAGAAAACTTGTAGTCCTCGTGCTGTTCTTCCTTCTCAAAATACGATCAATAATGGGGAGGAAATAGATCAACTCGGGAACTCATCTGCTTATGTTAATGGCGATATTGATTTTGATCAGCTTGACTGGCAATTTCAAAGTACTGTGGAGACCAGAGAAGCTAAACTTTTTGGCGCCTATGAATCAGGTGAAGGTCTAGCCAATGCATCAACATCCTACAGTTTAGTTGACCTTTATTGTAGATTGAAAGAAGAGTCTCTCTCTTTGATAGTTCATCATCTTGTTACTCTAAAGGTGTGTATGTATGATAAGAACATTAGACGCTGTTTCATGTTGTGTTAATTATAAAGATAATTTGATGTTCAAGTTTCTATAGGTTCCTGCTCTTCCTGGGGTAATGCCTGAAGTAGAGAAGATCAACGAGGAAATTCAGGTGCGTTAACTATCAACTTGTATGGTTAAGATGCCTGCACAATTAGTTGTTCGAAGCATTTGGCATTTAATATTTAGGCTGTGAACTGATAGAATGAGCTTTTGGATGAAAAATTGCTCTTGCCCCCAAACTCTCAATAATCATATAATACTTTTTAGAGTGATATTGTATAGGTGAGTGTCGGCCGTTTTATTGTCCAACCTTCGTGATTTGAAAAAGAGTGATGATTTTGTGCTTTTAAAAATAATTTAAATATAAATATAACCTTTTTTGATTTTTTAAATGTAACATTTTAATTTTAAAATAGGTAAGACCAAGCGGGTCTCACATTTTAAATAATTTAGATGATTGAATATAATACTACAGGTAATACACTTATCCCGACGAATAAATATATCACTTGTAATGGGAATTCAATCACCTAGACTAAAGAATTTGTGACATC